GGGGATTGTATTTGTGTGTACCTGTGTGAGGTAGGGAGGGGGGAAAAAAGGGGAGTGGTCGGATGCGACAGTCTCTGTGCGAGGTGTGTGCGACATCATCTTTTCGTGTGTGAGGTAGGGGAGTGTACCTGTATAGAGTCACTGTCATGCCGTTGTATGGTTGGACGTATCCTCTACCTCTGCCTCGGCAAGTGAACAGTTTTAACAAGTACGTCAACATGAATTGACAGCTGTAATTTCTTAAAAGTATTTGTTTGTCACGAACTAAGGAAGGAAAGAGGGAGAAGATGAAAGGAGACGGAACAAAAATTATGGCGGGAATATAAGATTGGCGGGAATATAAGATTGGCGGGAACAAAAAAAGTATGGTGGGAACAAAAGATTGGCGGGAATAAGAGTATGTGAGGTAGAAATGGAAATCCGGTATGGTGTAAGAATAGTTGTGAAATCGAAAGAGGATAAGGATCTAGTTGCACCACTCTCCATCCGCCAAGATTATGAATGCTCCTGGACGACCTGCACGCTCAGATGCATTCGAAAAATGTTGGGGGATGGCGAGTTGTGCAACTACATAGGCCCTAGATAAGGAGAAGAAAGTGAAGGGGACAGACAGTAAGGTGTTCTACCGACGGGCCTAGCTCAGTTGGTAGACCCAGGAGCTGTTGATATAGCTCAAGAAGAACTAGGCCCATGTTCGAGTCCAGATGGCGAGTGGTGCAACTAGGCCCTAAATAAGGAGAAGAACTAGGCCCATGTTCGAGTCCAGATGAATGACATGAAATAATTGCGAGTGTTGGACAATGATACCTCAAGGCTGTCACCCTTTAAAAAAAAGAAAAGAAAGCAGGTTATTGTTATCTTTAGGATAAATAAAGAAGAAAAGGAGATGAAGAGGAAATTGTACTTTTCCTATTTAGGAAAAGGTGAAAGGATGTTGTCCTTATTTACGCGATGTTGTGCGAGGAGTGGGAGATCAATATTTTAATAAATTATTAAATTGTAATTTTCCTATTTAGGAAAAAGCGAAAGGATGTTGTCGTCTTTTCGCCTAATCCTTCTGCGTATAAGAAGATACGCTATCGAATGCTTTTGGATGTTGTACCGATCTTTCTACATGTAATTTATTATTTAATTAATCTTTTTGCATGTACAACTCTATCGTAATGTATAATTTGCCTTATCCTTCTACGTACATCGACTGATCTTGTCTATTTATTTATGTGCGACGTCACGCACCTCACAAGACTAAGGAGGGTGGTTGCTATAATGATGTTTTTATTAGAGAGTACTTACTACGATACATATTTTATGATCTGTATTTATACATTCCGCGTAGCTTATTACAGTATTATTGTTATTATATTATTATTATTATTATTATTATTATTAATTAACGAAACGACGTTGCATAATGTACACGAATGGGGCCTTTCCGTACGAAACGTACAGGTTATATCTATACGGGAACCTCTTATTATTAATAATTAATTATTATTATTATTATTATTATTATTAGTTAACGAAAACTAACGTTGCATAACGTACACGTGCGGGGCCTTTCCATATGGAACGTACAGGGCCTTTCCGTATGAAACGTACAGGTAATATCTGGACAGGAAGCTGTACCTCTTGTACGCCCCCTAGGGAAAGAGAAGAAATAAGTCATCAAAAAAAAAGAAAAAAAAAAGTGCTGAAACATCACAAAACAGGCAACATTTGGCTGAGCATTTCATCTGCAGATTCTTATTAAAAAATAAAAACAATACCGGATTGGAAAAAAAAGGGTCGTACGGGCCCCTACCGTATGAGTAGCGTACGAGTACAGGAGTATGAATCGTACTCGTAAGAGGGAGCGTACAAGTGGCAACGCAGAAAACAGTGAAAGCAAGTGTCACGTTCGGTTCTGTAGCAGAGATTTTGAACGATGATGATGATGATTTATAACCCTTACCCTTTCAAGCGAATGATACGGGTTCGATTCACAGTAAATTGTGTGCCTTGGATTTTAGAGAAGCATAATCATATCTGAAATCGAACGTCATATACTCGCAGTAGGCCGATTTAATCAATTACTAAGTATAATATATGCAATTAAGGTCTAAGATGATTATCGACGTACCATAGGTTTGCTTTTTTTTGTCCTTCAGTGCTGGATCGACGTGCCACTGGATATGAAGTCATGTTGTCGGTTGAAGAGCATCAAAGGGTCGCCTCTGCAGAGTGTCGGTGAATCTTCCGCTAGAACCGGGGCAGATACACCGCCATATTTTCTTAGAAAGGGGATAGCCCCTAGTGCCAAGGGCTTCTCTCTACTAACCAAATGTGCAAAATGAGAATGAATCTTCCGCTAGAAACTGGGCAGATGCACCGCCATATTTTTCGTCCTTTGTGCATGTCGTGAGTAGTGGAGCGAGGGCCCAAATCAAGTTGTCGCTTGAACTATTGAAGGGACGATTCTACAGATTGTGGATGTATATATGTATATTTTTTCTTTCAAAAAAATATCATACTAAAGGGGGTAGGCCCTAACCGTTATTGAATCCATCTAGTTACGTCAGGAGTCGAACTCATGATCTGTGTACTAACATTTACACGTGTATCATTCAGCCACAGGGGCTATTCCTGAGGGTAGAGGGTTCATTTTCCTGAGGATCTGGTGGAAGTCTGGCGGATCGCTCTACTTAAGCGCACGGTCTTTTCCATGGGAGCTATTCCTTTCATGTGATATACCTATTTATAGTTGTAGGGGGTGGGGTGGGGGGTTGGGGGGGGGGGGGGGGGGGATTTTCTAGAGCAACAAACCGTGACTTTTTAGTATGCTGTTATCCTTTTTTTCCCGTCAGCAGCAATTTTGTTTTTTTCACAACTATATATCTATATATCTCCCGTCAGCAGCAATTTTTTTTTTTTTTTTTTTTTAAGTATGCTTTTATCCAACTTGTAATCTCCCGTGAGCAACAAATACTACCGTCTTCCCCGGAACATAACGCACCCTGATTCTGAATGTATACAAGCCATCTTTCCGGTTGGATGCAGTCATAATGAGGGTGCGTTGTGTTCGGGGGAAGACTGTAGTTGCTCCCTGTTCTATGCGCTATTCATCCTTTTCTGCCTTTTCTCCACGCACCTCCGTTTTCCCACCCGTTTTTCGAATCGCTTGTTTTCCACACCCGTTGTCCCCACCCAATTCTCCCTCCCCTACCTGCTCACCGCCCTCACCTATACTCTCCGTCTATGTTTCTTACCTTTAACCCGCGTCGATACGCCTCACCTATGCCCCTCGCGTATACCTCTCCCATACTCCCTCCCTTGCCTATAACCCGCGTCGTCACGATAGCCTCCAAATCTTATCGCCCCTGATTCCTCCCTACCTTCACCCGTGCTGCGCCCCCCTGCCCCCTCCCTTTCACCCTTCCCCCTTCGCCCTTCCCCCTTCCCCCTCTCCTTTTTTCTTACCGCCTTTTCTCCCCCTTCCTGTCCGTTTCCAACTTCGTGGCCCCTTTTTTCTAATCCATTCCATCCATGGGTAGGGGAGAAGGGAGGCAATGAGGGAAGGAGAGGGTACAGGAGGGGGTCCCGGGTAGACCCCATCCCCTACCCCCCCTTCCCCCCTTCCCCCCTTCCCCCCTCCCCCCTTCCACTAACCCTTCGGAATTTCGATGGCCAACAATACCCCTTCTTAGACGAAATTGAGTTTTCAGATACGGAATAATCCTGTCATTTCAGAAAGGGAATAGAAAAGAAAGTATGTTATTGTCTTTGGAAATGCAGAGGGGAGCGAATAGAATCCTGTCATTTCAGAAAGGGAATAGAAAAGAAAGTAACGAACTTGGCGTAGAAATGCAGACTATGTACATGTGAAGGGTGATGTTTGCCTCTCCAGAGTTGATGAACTGGTGTGTGAATGTAGCAATTGTTCTCTACTTTATAAGAATATATTTATCTTCTATTTCAAGAGATCATGATTTGATTTTCTCATCTATGGGATTACTTTGTGGAGGAATTTTAATATTTCTGTGTGTGTGTGTGTGTGTGTGTGTGTTTAGAAATAGAAAAACAGAAAAGGTAATGTTTGCCTTTCAAGGGACGAGGGACAACCTTTGCGAGGGATGGCCCCTTGCTTACGTTGGATTTAGTGGTGCGAAGGGGAACCTTCACCTCGTGGGGTAACTTTTGTCTCCCGTAGGGTAACTTTTACCCCTCGTAGGGTAACTTTTACCGTTCAGGAGCTTCACTTCGAGGACAATTTGTTTGCTTTGTTTGATTAAATAGTAGCGTTGTTTGCCTTTTTGGTTTGGTAGGCGGTGGTGAATATGGGCCACGCTCCACGAGTAGCCATTCTGCATGCACCTGGACGCTCTCTGCACCGGGTGCATTCGGAGGACTCCTCCAAAAGTTTGAATGTAACACGCCGATTATGAGCTCTAGATACCTATAGAATGTTGTGTAGTGGAGCGAGGCCCTACTTCAGATGCTTTCTGGATCTCCACGTGCATGTGGAATCTCTTCTTTCCCCCTTCCTTTTTTTTCACAGGGGGCGGCTGAACGTAATTGTTGTCCAACAGGATTTTTTTTTTTTTTAATAATAAATTTCGAGCATTTCTCGATTTATGCGTGTCATCCTTGCGCAGGGTCAATGCTAATCTTTTCTGTATCGTTCCAATTTTAACGGATGTCCCGGAGGACACCAACATGATTGTTACATGTTGGCAATTGGGGAATTTTTGCGTTCTCCCTTGGTCAGGGGCTACATGTAGGTGTGCCACTAGCAAAGATGACTGAATTGAAGGACTGAATGTGGACATAATTGTGGTTGAGGTGCAGATAATTGCGATTGATCTCCTTATAATACTCTCTCTATCCTTACTAATTCCGGCAATCAAGCCCAATGTACAAGGAACCACTTGACTCTCCGAATGAATGATGAAGACTCTTTGAGTGAATAGGAAGAAAAAGAACGTATTCTTCTGAGACTTCTGTCCCAATGAATTATATCAGGCAACTCTTCCAATGAAATCTAATCTGCAACCATAATAATAATAATAATAATAATAATCAGTAATTAAAATGTATCTGGAACTAGGCTACCAGAGTGGCCCGGGGTCACTTGCCTGGCCGGGCCAAAAAAAAAAAAAAAAAAA